CATTTCAATTATTGCATTTAGGTATAAAATAAAATTATTGATCTACTTTGTAATACAGTAAAAAGAAATATGACATGTATATAGCTTTCTAAACATACTAATGTAATTATTACAAGTAGATGAAATGCCTTTTACAATAATTGTAAACTGCTTGTATAAATAATCTAAGTATGATATACATTAATATACCTTTTGTATAAATTATAAGGCAACAATAGTAATTATTACATTATTATATTATAAGTATAACTCTTTCTTTAAGATTATAATTTAAATATAATACAAGCATAACACTTTAGGTTGTTATATAAAGTTAGTATAATACATGTAATAGATTTTTATTCATCCCTAGTACTTATGTAGTCTTTATATACATTAATATGTCTTATTTAAACATTGCAATTCAATTACAAGCCTTATAATTACTTTATAATGTATATACAATACATATGTTACTTTACAAAGTCTATAAGAAATTACAAGAAATCTGACTTTTTCCTGATGATCTCAGACAACAGTACACAGAGGTTCTTAGGGCATTGAACGATTTCACACATTTTAAAAATGTCGGGCTGAACCAACCAGGTAAAACAGAGGGTGGATGGGGCTGGAAGCCATGGTTTTTTGGTCAGTGAATTGACATATCAGAATGAAGCAATAGGAATAATATTGAGCACCGGAAATAAATCTACCTTCTATTGAGTGATTGCTTTACCTCTGCATCTTTTCGGAAAACGCGTCACTTGAAAACTGGTTGGACCCTTTAACCTTCTGAACAAACAGTGCGCCAGCAAGTCTGAAAGATACATCCTCGGTAATATACATTCATTCTGCGTTCCTAAATTCTTTGACGAGCCTGAAGGGCAGTTGTGAAGTAGTTTTGATCGGCAATGTAAAGAAACCGCACGAAATTTCACAACAGGCGCTGCAATAATGAATGACTGGTGTGGAAGCGGAGTACGAATTATGTATGCATTAATGTCGGAAGGATCTTCATATTAGCCGCTTAACAGTTAACACGAGGCAGCAAACTCCATATTTTCAGCAACATGTAATAGTGTGTGCACAAGAAGTTGCAGCCGAAGCTTAAGTGTGTTGTGTATCAGGAAGCGCAACCTACTTTATTCGGACATTACTCTGCCGTGTTGGGTCACAGAAGTTTTAATGTCATCGATGAGGCTGCTCGGGAGTACTTCATTTCTCAGATGCCCGTGTAACTTCTGTTCTAGTCTACGTAACCACTGTCAGCTGTGGCTTGTTCCGTTCTTATAATTAGTCAGGTGTGTAGTTTGTATCGAAGGAAGCCTTGTCGTCGCAACCATGTTAACTCCTAGCATAGCAGAAAGGGACAAAGGCTCGGAAATATTCAAAGCCATTCCTCTTGTTCCCCATAGAGTGCAGCTTGCTCAGGAGGCCATCACCCATGTTTCAAGCGCGAATGCGCGTAGGAAACTTTCTGACAGAGAGACAGAGCGGTGGGGTGAATTTACAAAGGTACGGAACGCTGTTCTTGTGTCATATGGATTCACAAAATGTTTCAGGGGTTCGACGTCTTCATGCTTAATTTTCAACGAGACTTGTCCAGTTTAATAACATTGTCCAGAGGTATGTTTTGTTGCCTAGTACTGCTTTAAGATGACGAGTTTCTCTCAGATTTCACATCAAGCTACTGTCCTTTCTTAAAAGGTGATACTACCCTCCTGGTTGACAAGCAGAAAGAGGTCAGCAAGTATATCGCTGTAAGTCATAGGTCCAAAATTCAAAATTGTAGTCACTAATAAGAGCATGAACAGTCTCTCCGCATGGATGAACATTGCGATGAGGAGACCCGTAGAAAGCTGGAGGCTTATCTTATTTCTCTTAGACAACTAGTAAGGGACAGTAGGGAGCAGCAAATTAGCCCTTTGGAAGGAACTTTGCTAATGTACGGTTATGCACAATACGATGAAACAGTATGGAAATCTGACATCATTTTGCGAGTGTAGCATTTTGTACAAGGCTTGTGGTCCCTGGCTGGTCTTCTGATTCAGCAATACTCAAGTAATTCCTAGATTGTTGAGTTCTTCGCAAAGCCATTCCTCGCGGGTGTGTAGAATATTGTACTGGATTTGTCCAGTAGATTGACCGAATCTGTTCTGACATATAGTTGGGTTTCCTGTGTTTGACCTTGTGCACCACCTGGCAAGCGAGCAAAGCTGTACGTGAATAATTGATTTTTTCTCAAATATTACTCACCTTATTTTTCTTGGAATCAATAAAGCATTGAAACAGCAAGCTATTCTACGAAGGGATCTTCGTTCGCGGGAAGAAAGCTTAGAGCGCATACAGCTGCTTTTTTCAACGCTCAGAGTCTGCGACCCAATGAAATTCTTTACTATGGTAATGCTAATTCCTTCCTTCTTGAGTATCTGACTGAAGCTTCATAAAGTTCAAGGAGACTGTTGAAAGCCTTAATGCTATCTTACAAGGCTCTGAAGATGACGATCAAAGGGTACGTTTTGAACTCGATCCTTTTTTGGGTATAAATATTATTATTTTAATGACGTAATGCACAGGAAAAGCTTCACCAAATCCTCGATGAAGGTGAGATACGAGTTAATCATCTGACGGAGTCGTTGCAGGAATTGGAACAGTCCATTTCTCAGCAAATATGAGATATTCAGGTCAAATTTTGCTCACAATACAATTGGTTCGTCAATACAGGAGCAACATGTTAAATAGATGATGTTTGTATTCAGGTCCAGAGGAAGCAGAGTCGTGTAATGTTTCTGTTAAGGTCATCTTTCAATGTACCTGTACCCTCATCCATTGTATAGCTCTCCAGCAAACATGTATCTATCCAATACAATATGTTGACTGGACCAGTGACATTTGCGCTGGAAATACTGATATTATATACTTGCCTTCAAAGCAGCCAGGCTACAGTCAAATACTGTTTGTACACCTTTGCTACGGTACAATATTAAGCGAAAATTATCGAAAAGGATTACCACACATGTTTTACACTTTATTTCAATCAAAAGTTCCCTTGCTAGAGTTCTGCACAAGATTTTTGTTGATTGACGTATAATTCGATGAAGGAACCATCAAGAATTGAAATTTGAAGTTTCAGGAATCAGGATTAATGCATAAGATACTTAGATAGTTAGACTCTATTTTAATCCGAATCATAGCATTGGCGTTCTACTACTAGCATGAATGGAACATGTCTCCTATATGATCCTGGATGCCTGCTGTATCAACAATGGAGATGGGTAAGTTGGATTGGCGACTTGGAAATTGGGATGATGCGATTATCAAAAGATCACGTGATGACTAACGCTGGATTGATGCCAATGATGGCCCTCGGCTTACGTTGACCTGTTCGTTTAGTCTGCCGTGATCCTGCACTTACCAGAGGACAAGTCTGCCGCCTGTTTGTCGCACATGTTGGTCCTCTCCAACTCATCGGACACGGTTTACATGATGTTGTGCTGCGAAGTTGTTTAGTGTCGGCATGATGGCACTTTGATTCGGCCCCGACGCATAATTAATCCTATTACTGTGCTGTGTGGCAGTAGCACTGCCACGAACAGAGCTCCCTGCGCACCGCTTGTCCTCTTCACCAGGCATCCCTTTTCACTCGCTCAGAGATGCACCAGCGGCATGGCTTTAGATGGTGACCTAGCTGCAGAAAGGCTTTCCAGGCGAGTACTTCTTCGTAGTTAGAGGCACATGGTCTCTGGTAACAGTCGCAAACAGAGTACATGAATGGCGCGCAGATGTCCTTTCGCATGCCGAAGCATTTTCGTCCAGCTTCAAACCCCTTTTGAAGACTACGAACGTCGAAGACCTTTTCGAAATCCTGAGAGAAGCGCATCGTCGCGATAGGGATACGTGCTTGCAGATTATTCGACGACTAATTGATGCTATTTTACTTTCTCCCGAATCATCAACGAAACGTGTCGAACTGCTTGAAAAGTGCTGGGACGTAACGAGGGACGTTTACCGCGATACGCCAGACCTGAATCCTTTTGCATCTCTCCTTTTTGAGCCTCTCGAGTCCATTGGTGTCCCGGCGATCGTATACGAAATATGTCGCTTGTCGTCTGAATCTCATCAAACTCTTGAACATGGCCTTTCGTACGGCGAACGCAGCGATGTACCAAGGATTCGGGTCATTCGTACGCCACCACAAAATGAAGCTGCCGACTTTGATGGATTACTTGTCTTGCGTTTCATCATTACGCATTGGGAAGGGACTCTTATTCCCTCGTCCGACGTGGAGAGTGGAGATTTGATAAAAGCCGTTCGCAGAGCGTGTCTGTGTCTGGGTAACATCGATCACGGGAATAATGTCTTTCAACGGGTTCGGCCCTTGTTATCTAATCGTCTTAACAGTTACATTCGTCCTTCTTTCAATTCGGTATATTCCGTGGATATATTCCCAAACATACTAGATGGAGACGTTTCTTCACCCTCTAGACGGAAAGGGATTCTTGCTTCTGATGGTGTCGGTTTTACCGCTTTTATTGACATCCCTCAATTTCGCGAGACCCTTGCGCATTTTCGCTCGCAAAGCAAGCGTTCGCAGCAATCACCATCGTCCTCTACCCCGTCGCCTTCATCCCCATTTCCACCGACACCAAATTTAACGGAATCCATCAACATTGAGTTTCTTGCGGCGCATTGCGCATGGTCGTTGGAAGTGGGAAGGAACTCTCTTCGCCTTACCTTATTAGACTCGGACGGATCATCGGGAGGTGATGGTTTTGTCGTAGACGCGGTGGTTGAGATTGACCTTCAAAGGACCTCTCATCGTTCTGATCAAAGATATGTTGTTCGTTTCCCGAAGAGCAAATTCTGCTTTCCCAGCCACCCACGGACTGGAGGAAATTCAACGTATTTGCCATTGTGTTTCTCTGAGCACTCGCCGAGCTTAATTGCAGGAAGAAACCATGGGTCAGATGAGAGGTCTCCGGTGACCAGCGACATATGCGGATTTGATGACGAACGTTTCACCGATGGCAGCTCAGGACACCTGCTTTTGAAGCTCCTGGTCAAGTTCGACGCCCCGTCACAGCATATGATGGCCTTGCAACCGTCTCTTGTATCCCCGCGACAGTATAAATTTCCTTACTCCCATGCCAACAACATAGAGGCTGCATTTCGTGGTGACTTTGAACTTTTAAGGCCAAATGATAATCACCGCCGATCAATATCTCTTCCCGTCGTAACGGTCAGCGAGCCAGAGGTCAACCACGAAGTGGCGCAGGTAGTTGTGCCATCCGACAGATCTTTGTTGCCGGAAGTGGCCTCTACCAATTCACCCCGGAAGTCATCCAGAGCTTTGCCCAAGCCGCCCGTCTCTGGGAACAGTACAGCATTAGGAATGTTCAGTATTCACGCAGACGCGTCTAATTCTCAACCACGTAGTGGTCATTTCAAGCAGAAGTCCCTTCCTGACATCGGTCGGTCGTTCGAGAATGTCGATGTATCATCGAGCAGTTCACCAGACGCAGACCAAGCTTCCGCAAACCTTCACCCCGTTCTACTTCAATCTAACGCTTTGGCATCTAAGCGACGCCCCTTGCCAAAACAACCTTCTTTAACTATCGACACCGTCAATCTTCGTCCGAAATCACCTACAGGCTCACAGAGACCCTCGCCTCGGTCAGAGGGACCTTCCGTTTCTCCTATTGAGTCACAGTCGATAAAGGCGGGCGAATTGAAGACAGCTACTCCAAGGAATACGGTGCACAGTCAACGACATCTCTATGACGGCCCCAATACTTCTTCGTCTATTGGCCTCTTGCACCCAGATTCTCACACACCGGTTGCGGTGAATGGACAATTACGAACTTCCCTGCGCCCACTAACTCCAGCCAGCGATGTCAAAGATCAGGAGGAGATTCCTAGCTTGGTGGGCGGCTCCGACAAAAATTGGCGAAGAAGCATGTTTTCCGAGATGGAAGACTATTTCCGTGTACATCTTTCCATGGATCATCTGTTCAATTGGCAAGGACTGGACGAAGACTTTGTAATATATCCGGTAAGTGCGACTTTCGGTGGCACGACGCAGTCCTTGCTAACATTCCATTGTCTCCCAGTTTGCTATTCGCTATCTTGCTCAGTATTTGCATTGGTGGGAACATGAATCACGTAAACCGTCAGCGAAGTCTCTGTCTCCTCAGTACGTTACGATTTGCTTAGCGCGCGTCTGAGGCTAAACGGAAATTCGTGTAGTTTGTTGCTTACAGAAGTTCGAAAGCTGTCGAGCACGAATTTACTGCAAGCGATTGGAAACCAAGCAATCGTCCGAGAATATTTGGTCGGAATTCTACGTCGAACAGAACAATTTAGCTATCGGCACTACAGCAATATAGAGATTAATCGGGCTTGGTCAGATGTATTGCGCCGTTCTTTGCAACTAGATGAGCAGGACATGGCCCTTTCTCTTTCAACGGTTTTGGAACACGATTTCGAAGGCTCCATGCAAGAGGTGATTGGTATGCAATCGACCGATCTTCACAACTTTATGGATGTGCTGCAATCGGTATGCTCCACACGAGTCTATTTATCGATTCCCACTGATAGCTTGCCATAGCTAATTGATAGACAATACGGCTCGATCCGTGTCCTGGAGCGATTTCTACAGAAGCTCGTTGACAAAACAGGTGTTCTACCCAAGCACTTGTTCTTGTCAGGTATTAAGAGGATCGGCGAGAACCCAATTGCCGGTGGCGGATTTGCTGACGTCTGGAAGGGCAAGTCTGGAGAGCGTACTGTTGCTTTGAAGGTCATTCGAATATTTGGCCTTGCAAATCCTAATGAATCGCAGCATCAGGTAAATAACTACGTTAAATGATACATAGGCAGGTGCTAATACGGCTGAAGGAATTTTGCAAAGAGGCAATGATCTGGCGACAATTTCGACACCAAAACATTCTACCGTTTTACGGCGTGTGTATAGACGAATTTTCACCTCGACTTGCCTTGGTCTCTCCGTGGATGAGAAACGGCGATGTCCTGTCGTACCTCAAGGAGAATGACGGCGTTAATCATATCGCAGTGGTCAGTCGTTTGAAATTGCCTCCAGGCGTCTTTTTGATGACTCCTACAGATTGCTGGCATAGCTCTTGGACTATTATATCTTCATACATTAAAGCCTCTTGTGATACACGGCGATCTTCGTGGGGTGAGTCGCTGTTCTATACATCATTTGAGCCTAGGCAGAATGGCGTTGATTCATCCTTCTGTTTAGGCTAATGTTCTCATTGACGACCGCGGACGACCGAAGCTCGCCGACTTTGGGCTTGCCCGCATAGTTGATTCCCAGGCTTCTACAGTTGCGGCAACCTCTTTCAACGGGAAAGGTGCTGTACGATGGCAGGCACCGGAGCTGCTTGACTCTGGTCGATTCGGGAGTGACTATTGCAGGGTATCGCCGCGCAGTGATGTATATGCATTTGCCGTTGTTTGTTTGGAGGTAAGCCTTCCTCGCCATCGGCATGACTGTGAGCTGATTGCCAGTACAGGTTTTTACGAAAGAAATACCTTTCGCACACCTGCGAGACATACAAGTTATTTCAGAAGTTGTTATTCGTGATAGACGACCTTCTCGTCCTGCCGCAGACTCGTTAGCCGTACAGTGTGGTCTGAGCGATAAGATTTGGAGCTTGATTGAGAGATGCTGGACTGCTCAACCTTGGGATCGTCCAGATATGCAGACTGTGGTGCAGGATCTTACCGTCGATTTCCCCTAGAGGTGCTCCATAGATACCCCCTCTCTCCCTTATGATGCGATACCCTAAATTGCTATGCTTTGGAACTGTCTTAATACTTTCGCTGCTGCTCTCGTGCGTTGCTACTCCTGGTATGGTTTGTTAATTGTATGTTACCGATAAAGAATCCCCGAAGGGAGGGTCCATGAACAGTCGTACATCGGTGGCATATGGGCTATATTGTAACTTCAAGTGGGAGATCTTAGATTAAATATTATTATACGGATGTGCGAGTACAGTGCATCACTGTTATTGTAAGCAGCTAATGAAGGTGATGTGCGGAAAAATCGTCGAGGACGCAGGTTAAGGTGTATAACAAGCAAGAAATAATGTACAACTGTTTAAAATATTAGAGAATGGATGTTGAAATCGGAGCACATCTGGAAATGAATTCACAAACTTGGGGATGAAGAGTGAAGCGAGTGACTATTGATTAACAAGGAGATACGTAGTAAAGGAAGCACTTAAGGCTTAGAACGAGCGATGCTAATTTTGGATGGTGAATTTTGGTGCACAAATATGCACTTATTCTGATTTTCTCAACAGCGACTTTTCGCGGATGAAGAACGAGCTCAATAGGGCAAGTCCAGCGAGGAGGACTGAAAAGAGGAAAGCGGCGCGGGTAGCCTCAGCATATGATTCTCGAACGATCTTTTGGACCGTAGGAGGTAAGGAGGCAAGTGAATCAAGGGATGAGCGAGCATGTTCCACGATCTAAAAGCAAAGGAATTGAGTTAAAGTCTTTAAAAACAATATGCAGAGACGAAATCAAACTAACGTCTTCAACGTTTATGCCCACCTGGCCAATGAGACGCTCGCGAAGGTATTTGCGGAGTGTATTTTGAACGAGTGTACTGCCAACTGATATACCGAGAACGGAACCCATCGAGCGGAACAAATATGAGACTGGTGATGCAAATTGTTAGATGAGTTCAGAAGCCTTGAGCAAATTCAAGCACGTACTGGCGGTAGCGATTGCTTGATCTTCCTGTTCTGCATTAGAGATAATTGCAATAAGAGTAGTTGTCACCCCGGAACCTAATAATACCGTTTAGCGTCTGAGGGTAACCATAAAGGAAAACCATGCTCACCATTCCCAAGAGCTTGAATGGCGAGTCCTGCTACTACAACTTTGACGGCAGCATCCTTTAACCACGTCCCGGTCGTCAACACAATCGTCCCAGCAAATTGTGCCACATAGACACCAACGGTCAGCCAATAATACTTTCCCGTCTGTTGCATTATCAAGCCGCTGCTAAGGCTTCCTACAACACTACCGAAAACGGATGGGACAATCCCGAGACCTGCCTGGGCAGCACTTGCACCCCCACCAGCTTGTAAGAATAAAGCGGTATGGAAGATGGCACACATGTTTGCGCCGAAGCAGAAGAGGTTGCATAGGAATGCAGCCAAAAGCGACGGGTGAGCGAGGACTCGCTTAGGTGCAAAGGGTTCTGCCGCCAGTTGTAACTCCGTAAGTCCGAAGAGAATGAAGAAGATGACGGAAAGAGATAGGGATGTTATAGTCATTGCTGAGTGCCAAGAAACGTTTCCACCGTGATCAAGACCTAGAAGCAGTCCAAACACGCCGCAAACTAATGTGAACGCGCCGAAGAAATCAATGCGTCGGAGTTTCGATAGAAGGTCAGATTGATGCACTTTGGTGGGTAAGTGCATAGCGAAAGAGACAATGACGAAGGCAATAATTGTCAAAGGAACTTGTACATAGAAGGCCCTAGGAGAGAAATTAGTAAATTCCGCATCACACAGTTAGGGAATGTTCAAGTACCAGCGCCAACCAATTCCATCAGCAAGAATGCCGCCGAGTGGGGCCCCGATAGCTGAACCGGTTGCAAATATGATATTTATTGTGCCTTTGGAAATGTAAGTAAGGGCCGGGAGGTTTCTAGCTCATGGAAAACAAACCCTGCCATGCTCCTCTTGAACGGAGTGGAACGATATCTGAAATCAGAATGGTGATGACGCTACATTAAAGAGTGTTAGAATAGAACATCGCTGCAAATCAAGACACATTACGTTGGTATTCCAGCCCCGCCAATTCCTGATAAAACGCGAGCTGCAATGAGCTCTTCCATAGTCCTTGCCATCCCACAGAACAAGCAACCAATTCCGAAGATAGTAAAAGCAAAGAGTAAACACTGTTTACGCCCGAAAATGTCGCTCAGCTTCCCATAAAGAGGCCTGTGATCAATAGAATTAGACTGACATAGTAATTCATTTGTGCATTAAACTGCGCTTACTGGAAACTTGTGACAGTAAGCATATAGCCAGTCGCGATCCAACTTGTACTCTGCAGTCGTTTGAGTTCGCTTCCAATTGATGCATAGGACGAGGTGACTATTGTCTGGTCCATTGCAGCAAGGAACACGCCTAAACCCACTGGGAAAAGCTTAACAAGTAGTAATATGAGTGCTCAGGCACTCAATCTGTTAGGCTATTTGATAATAGGATACTCACCAACTTTGCCATTCTTTTGTTACCATCTTTCTCTTTAGTGGCCTCAAGATCCTCGCTAGACTGAGAGGATCCATTAGCTGGAGCGACAGCCACAGAACTATATGCGCTGTGATTTGTAGGAGCACCGTCCTGGGAGCCGTTTTCAAGCAATGGGCGACATTCGTCCGTTTCGAAGTTGACGGACATTTTTGGTGTAAGATAAAAGAGAGTGAGGCCCAAGGAAACAGAGATTTCGAGAGTTCACACTAAAGGAAGACAATGAGAAGGAAGAAGTATAGCTAACGGACGGTAGTTTAACATGCTCGCCAATGTCGAATAAATATCGCCCCAGACAACTTCCATTGTCACTGCCCGGCTCGGGAACAAGCAGCAAGCCATCGCCTAGTCTATTTCTAGTTGGAAAATTGGTGTTAGCATGCCTTGATCGGCACCACACTGGACAGAGCCGTGTTACATGGCTTCCATGTCTCTTGTCCAGACGAGACAGATATGATTAGATATGCGCTTGTGTGAGATATACGCCTGTCTATTGGTAAATGACGTGTACCTTGGACATGGGCGGCAAGCTCCTTATTGGAGCTCCTGGCTTAATTATCGGTAGCATTGCGATCTGTGGCAGTAGAGCTCAATGTAATTTTCGACGATCATACTGACAAGACTTCTCGCTCTGATCTAGAACCGACGTGGCTAGGACGGGGATGCCCGCATCTTTTCAGACCATGAGGGAAAACATGGAAGATACATGTGAATGCATGCATATGACGTCGGAAAGGACAATAACTTTTGGCCTGCGTGATAGAACGATCACTAGCTAAATCTTTAAATCTCGCAAATATTTCCCACCGATAGCCCTTTATCCTTTTACGAAAAGGCACAACCACTTATCATCGGTTCAGTCATACGTCCGCGCATTTAGCTGAAACTCCGACGTACACAGCCACACGTACTGGAGATTCACCGCACCGACGGATTCGCAGGGCGTCGGGAAGGCTCCGAGTTTGAACATTGTCAACCTGCCGTGATCGAGCCACAGTTCCCCACTATGACCCTGCGCTGGCAGTGGAACAAAAGTGGAGAGCATTTGATACTAATTCACGAAATGGTAGGTAACTAGCAGCCAGAGTGAGCAACTCACTAATCCTGCATCCTTGGAAGAATGGGAAGGGTACAGCTGGACTGATGCGACGGAACATGCATGGCTGGTGGTTAGCCAGGCAGAGGCCTCGTGTTCAGTATCTATCTCAGATTGTTCAGTGCCGAGACGATTACGGAAAAAGGTGGGTTAGAAACGTAGGATAGATATAGACACTGCGGGACTTCACCTAGAACTAAGAACAGGTGCGGGAAGCTGGCCTACAATAGTTGGCATGCCTTTGCTACATGGTCTATCCAAAGGCCCGAAGACGAGGATCCAAATGCAGATACCCCCAATACGCGGAATGCTATAAGTCGTTAGGCTGCCTTGTTCAACATTGAGAAGCAACGAATAGTTGGAACTGGACTCGACGATCATCGCGGCATTGTCATTTATACTCAACATCAGGTGTGCATTGCGGGCGGTGATTTCGATATCCCAAGCGTCTTGAGGAACTGACTCAGCGATCAGTGGGATACATCGTCTCAGTAGGTTGGTGTTGGCACTTCGATATCGGAATGTCTAAACACGCTATTGTTCAGCATACACGCGTGTTTTTCGTCTTGAATGTGGGGTATCCACATTGCGTCGGCGCAGGGAACATTCGTAATCGATGAAATGGTGGAGGAACATCAGTTAAGTAAATATTTCTACAAAGAAACCCGCTTAAAGATCGTGAATTAAAGTGGGAGACGAGAATTAATATGGACGCACCGAGGAATCCACACTCGGACCTGTTTCCACACTCGAGTCACTCTCATTTGAAGCCGAAATTTTCACCAACAACAAGCTAGACCCGTTGAACTAATGTTTGTTAAAATAATCCAGTATGCCCAAAATCTATTCACAATGCACAAAAAGACACAAAGACTAAACAACTAGAAAAGAGTCAAAGTTTGTAAAAAGGAACAGAAAGTAAAAACGCACATAAATAGCTCTAAGTGACAATTCAAGCAAGTAATCCACACGCGTGACGTTAAGTAGCTGGGTCATGAACAGAACGCGCCTCCTGCGGTCCCAGCAGTGACCTTGAGCTCGTTCTACTTGCCCTAGGCCCACTATCTTTCTCTGCGCCATCCGTCTCGACACTAACAGGCGTACCAGGATAACCACTTCTCGTCGACAACTGGCTTTCGTCGCGAATGGGAATGATTTTCTCTGGTTGCGCACTGAGGTAGGGCGTACGCTTGCGTGTACGCCAGAGGACGTAGAAGATGAGAACGAGCATCGCGATGGAGGCAAATCCAGCCACAAGTCCTCCTATTAGCGCTGCTTCTGGAGACTTTCTCACTGTCGGCACAGATACCTCGTCTCCTGTGTCTGTGGAGTCTGTTTCCCTTCGGAGGACACGAAAAGTCTCTGTATGGTGCATTTTTGTGAATGTAGTCGGCTGACGGTAGTCGAGTCAGTAAAGCGGAGAAACTCACCAGTCGGGGACATAATCGATATTTCTAGCTAATACTCCGCTGTGACCAGAAAGAAGTAATGAGAGAAGGACGCGGTTGAGAGCTTTCAACAGTTTGGAGCCTCATGTTTGAGTCAAGGCTCGGCCTAGGCAGTTGGTATGGTATTGATAATGCGGCTGGTGGCCAATGACGCACACACTAATATCTGTTCTAGCCTCATGGCCTTTGTCTCCGCACTGTTCGCAGGCAGGCAACGCGAACGTTCTATGGGGCACTTTCATCGTAAATTTGGGGTTCGCATATCATTCACAGATAAGAAAAAGCGGATCTCCAGGCAAGCGTTCCATGACCATGAGCTCAGCGAGCATAGCAGGGAGGTGACGAATTGGATCCGCAGTGTCTCCCGGCCGTAACGACAATGATGGACCTTGCAAGACGAATATAACGCAAAGTTATCCGTAAGTCCACGCTAGCAGATTGCCATAGGGTCTCTCTGAGATGGTCATTCAGTGAAATACGAGTCGCTGTGGCGGGGAAGTACGAGTTCGGAAAATCGGATCCAAAAATCGTGCTAGGCACATGACCTTCTATCGAGTTTCAGGTTCAATCTCCGCTCAAGAGTTTCGATTTTATTTCCTACCACTGACTTGCCGAGCTGTGTGAAAGCCTTCGTTCGGATGATTAGGTTGACATTTACACCTCACTGGATGTCTGCTTGATACCCCATATGCATGCATAGGAAAGTGTAGCCAAATTCTCCCACTTAAAGCAGCCTGTTCTTGAAAGGTATTTTATGAATTCTGTAATCGTTTGTAGAATTTGTGGGTACATTTATTCATCATAATGGTACAAGTCCGCTGAAGGTCAGATACATTTATACACAGGAAATTTGCTTTACAAGTAATCATACATGAGCTGGGATCAGTTGAGTTGAAAGTCCTGTTTAACTCGGTTACTCCGAATCAGGCCGATAAATCTGCTTCTCATCTTGGAACAGGATTGTGCATTTTCCGGTCTTTCCGGTGTCGAAAAGCTTGTATGCTTCTACGGCTTCGTCAATCTTGAATGTATTCGTAACTGTAATCTGCATTATGGTGGCTCATTAGTCTAGGTTTTTTCTTTTGCGCGTGCACATACAGACGTACTTCAGGATGAAGATCCCATACTACGAGAAGCTTGACAAGTTCCTCCATTTGCGAGATCGAGCAGACCCAACTGCCATAAATTGTCAAGCTCTTGTGGATAACCACTTCGGAAACTTCGAAGTCAACCGTTCCATCTTCTCCGACGAAGACAACTCGTCCCCATGAACGGCAGGCTTTGAGGCAGGTCAAACGCGCAGACGAAGCACCACTACAATCGATAGCGACTTCGACACCTTCACTACCGGACCAAGCAACAGCAGCTTTGATGTCACCTTCAGTATCGTTTGTGTTCCCGTTCCTTGCGCATTCCAAGCTTTCGATACCAAGTTTCTTGGCAAAAGCGACTCTGTCGGGATCCCACTCGATTCCAAGGACTTTTGCTCCCATCTTCTGTGCAAGGAGAGCAGTGCCGAGACCAACTGGACCCAGCCCCGTAATCAAGACACGGTCACATCCCGAAATCTTTGCGCGTACGCATGCAGCGTAAGAGGTTCCGAGTCCGCAAGCGACGATTGCTCCGTCAAGATACGTCAACGGTTCCGGGAGGCGGACAAGTGATTGTATGTCAGCCAAAAGATATTCACCTATTCGAATCACATTCAAGCTACACCGCATGCGGCGATGTGAGTATGGAAAGCGTACCGTGTCCACCGTCGCGCTGCCATCCATAGGCTGCGCGCACGGGATAATCTGCCTCACAGAAGACATACAGACCCTGGCGGCAGTAATAACATGTGCCACAGCCCTGAACATGATAAACCGAGACCCGAGTTCCCTCCTTCCAACTATACAAGTCATTATACATTAATAGATAGCCTTGCTTGCGGCGCATACACTTACGTGTCCGGAACACCTTTACCGCGCTTCACAATAACTCCACACGGTTCATGTCCCGCAATGACACCTAGGTATCCTTCTGCACCTGTCTTGTGTGTCTTTGGGCGGTAAATCGCGCGGAGGTCGGATCCGCAAATTGCAGAAGCCTTTGATTGAAGGAGTACCTGCCCGATTCCTGGCTGCGGGACAGCTGTCTCTCGTATTTCACATCGACGATCACCGGGAAGGTATACACCTGGGAAACCATCAGATCGGCATTACGTATCCAGGAAGACTGACACATCGTGTAGCTTTAGAGTCAAAATTTGTGTACAAACCTTTCATCGTCGATGGGATGGTTATTTTCTCTGCCATCGCTCGTATCGTTGAGGAGGAGTGCTGGGAGAAAGAGTGCTTTTAGCATTAGCAGCTGACATTGCTCAGTTTTCAAGCGAGCCGGGCCGGGACAGAGAGGTCGGTGCATATCGCTGAAAGCCAGTGCAAGTTGCGAAAGTCGCCGAGCTGAGAAGATGTGCGTTCACAATAGAGTCCACGAGAAAAGGCAACTCAAGAGCTATATCAAGCAACAAGTGTTATCATGCCGACGGGGACAGTTGAGCTCTCGGAATTTGTTGTGTTATCGGTGGGAGTGATGCATAAGTACTGTGGGGATGCCGCGCAGATAGGAGATACTGGTATTTCACCGAAGTGTTGAGATTCTTGAGAATAACAGCAAGCACGACCTGCAGCAGCAGCGGCAATTATCATGCTATTTTTGTGAGGAGAGGATTACATAATATAGTAGCTTATGTTTACTACGCATTGCCTCACCTGAGTAACAAATGTCAGTTGCTGATCCCAATTCCAGTGTCCTACGTCTCTCTACCTTACTGTTTACAAGGCTTTCTTTCATATTTCCGCGCTGGTATTCCTTTGCATTTTCAAACAGAAATTATAGGTCGAATTTCCTGAAAAGGAATAATTCAGTCATGTGAATTCGGCACGTCGACCACCACGACGCGTCGTTTAGGGACTGCAGCGGATAAGGCTATCCGCGGTGTCGTACCGCGGTTGACAAATTCCCACGGATACCACATCCGCGGATAACTTTCTCACGGTATCCGCGGTTTTTGCACATCCGTCAGATGTATATAGAAATCAAATACATCTACTGTAGACATTCATAACTTCCAAGTATTAGCATTCATTAACTAAAAAAAGACAAAAAAATTCTACTATGTCTCAGAACTATACCCTACACTCCTTAAATTCAATATTTTCCCATCTTACACATGTCCTTGTCTGACGAGATGTGAGTCATGTGACAGCTGTCTGCTTGTTTGTTTTACAGAACCATTAACAAAATGCACTCTCTACATAAGTAATGGTTG